TTAAAAAAAATTGATTTTGAGACATGGTCTCACTAAGTTGCTCAGGGTGGCTTCAAACTTGCGATCCTCCTGCCTTGGCTTCCCAAGTACCTGTTGTCCACCATGCCAGGACATGTGATTTTATACATAGCAAATACTCTATAAATTTTTTGCTAACTGCATTAATAAACAAATCTATAAACATTCTTGGTCCTGACACTAGAGAAGTTTAAATTTTAAGTTTATAATGTTATTTGTTTTGATAAATAAGTGTACAGAATTCCTCCTTGCTAGGAACTTCATCAAAGTATACTCTACTTTTTCTGTCTCCATGACTTCACATTTACTCTTCATCTTTTGCGCTTAGCATTCTATTGATTGTTGTAGTTATATAATCCTCAGTGGTAAAAAGACAGTGGAGGGAAAGGGGGACAAAAAGAATTGAGGTGTGTTATATATGTGTAACAATTCCCTAAATTGAATATAATCATTATGTACTACAAATGTGTACTGATAAAATTTTTTTTAAAAATTAAACCGGGAAGAAGAAAATATTCATTAGCTAATCTAGTATTAAGATTAATCCTATGAAATTGGTTAGAATTCTGATCTACCAATTACTGTATGACTTTGGGCAAGTTACTCAAACTCCTATCAAACTAGGATTATTAAAATTATTTGATAAGACTGTGGAGTAGATTGTACAACATATTTCAGGTACTCTGAGTAACTGTTCTTACAAAGGTCATAAATGATTTGTCAATAAGCTCAATAATTTATTTTTATTCCTTACCCTCCTTGATTTCTCCTTAGCAAATTGACCTTTAATGGCCTCAGTTTCTTAGATCTTGCTATTTACTGGTTCTTCTCCTTCCAATTTCAATATTCATTAGTATCTCTCTTACAGGCTTTTCCTTCTTGGATCTATGTTTAAATGTCTGTCAACCTCACTTTTCTTCCACTCATTTATTCTCCTTGGGTGAGCTCCCCTAGCATCATCCTGCAAATGCCTGCTACTGATATGCAGGTGATCAAGACTCACAACGTATATAAATAAAAGGCATTCTTATTTTTTTAGTTGTAGTAACCAGAATTATTTTTAAAATTTTTCTTTTATACTGGAAATACTGGAAAGTGATTTATAAATCACAAATCAATTGAGGGTTAGAAATGAAAATTACAAATCTATTGAGGGTGAGTGTAAAGGGCCCTTTACTAGAAGCAGAAAAGCACTATCTGGAAGCCAATAATCTAAGTGAAATGAAGAAGATCTCCTGCATGGGTAGATAGAGCTACACAGAATGCTGTGCAATTTGACTGATTACAGGCAAAGTAACACTACTCTGCCTGGGCAGTACTTCCATAATTTTCCTAGCATCATCTTAATTTTGCATAATATTCTGTCAATATTTTATAATATAGTTAAGTGGTCTTTAATATATTGAGCCTTGAACTACATACTCCACCCTTTGTTTCATTTTTTATTTTGAGACACTGTCTTACTGAGTTGTTAAATTGCATATCCAAGTCTGGGCTTGAACTTGTAATTTTTCTGGCCCAGCTTTCCAAGAATGCTGGAATTACAGATATGTGTCACTATACTATACCTGACATATTGATCAGTCTTAATTGTAACATCTCCTAACACAAATTCATTGTATCATTCCTCAAATCTATTGTTCTCTCTTTTCCTTATTTTACTTAATGGTGTCATCATTCATTCAGCTTTCTGAATATAAAAATAATAATCAGAGGGCCTTTAATTACCCCTTTCCTTCTCTCCTGAGATTCAATTACAACCCCAACCCTAATGATTATGTGTTTAACTTGGATTCCCTAAGAAAGAGAACCTGATTTAAGACTTAGGTACAAGTTCATTGGTTAGTTGTTTGTAGGATACAATCATAAGGAAGTAGATGTGAAAAATGCCAAACAAATACATTATTGGATGGGTTACACTATGTGCAACTGAGATTCAATACCACTGGGGAACTCTGGAAAACCATATAGAACACAGTTCAGGAATCTCCCAAGAATAGGATTGTATGCAACTGCCTATCCATCTTTTGTTGAGGACTTCTCCCATGAATATTATTTTCCAAGCACTTTGCAGGGTCTTGCAGTCAGAAGCTATCTGCTTGCACTAAAAATGTGAACCTGGGGGATACAACTAGGTATTTACACAATCTAGCAGGGCCTCAACTAGAGTAAGGTACAGTAAGGAATTCATCTCAGATACAGAATTTACCTTTATTTTTTCTTCCTCAAGTCCTTCACACTTCCAGCTCACCCTCCATGTTGCTAATGTTTCTAAGGGTTCTTTCTCATCGAGCTACTTACCCAAACCCTGGGAGTTAACCTTTATAGACTCCGTTTGATAAAATCTGTTTTCCGCTTTAAAAGTACAAAATAAAGTCCAAACACTTTGATCTCACAAACTCCTTAATTCTTTACATGTTGAGTATAGCTGGTTTTTTTTGTTTTGTTTTGTTTTGTTTTTGATTGGGGATCTCACTGTGTTGCCCTAACTGGCCTCAAACTCACAATCCCCCAGCATCAGCCCCCCAAGTAACAGAGATTTACAGGTATGCTATTCTGCCCAGCTTTATACTGTTATTACCTTTCTTAGACTCATATTCTATTACTGTCTTCTACCTTTGCTGTTATATGAACACTTCACTTTCTGAACTTTTATACCTTTGAATACTTTGTTCCTTCCTCAAATAACCCCCCCCCCTTAGACAAAAATTTCTTGCTAATCTTCTAAAATTCAACTTGGAAATCTCTTTGTAAAAACTTCCTTAACAGCCCTGAGAAAATTGCTTATTCCTTTCCATACTGTGGCACTTAATATATCCTTCTACTTTTGCACTTTGTAGATGGAATTGCATTGTTTTCCCTCACTAATTCAGAAATTCTTCAATGAGAGGTCTTTTTGACCCCAACATCTTTCTGCATATAGAAGGCAATTACACAATAGTTACATGCAAATAGGTCATATGGAGAGTGTCTCACAAAAAGACAAAAAATAAAAATAAAAGAAATGGAAGGAAACTTATTAGCAATTTCAGCAGATGGATACCATAAGCAAAGACTAAATACAGTTCAGAACTATCACAGAAATGTATATTTTTATGAACTGCTTTTAAAAAGTATTTGAAGCAGCTGTTTTTGTTTTGGAATCAGTTGTTGCCAAAGGGAAACCTTTTGGTTTATTCAACTAGACTATATATTTTGTTGATGTAAAAGAGAGTGAATATTCCAGAGTGTTAAATTCATATGATTTCAAATTAAAGAGTGTCTAGATTATAACTGCCCTGGAAACAGAGATACAATGTACATAATTTGCTCTTTATACAGCTCCTAGTACATATATACATAAATTATCAAATGATTTTTGGCACAGCAGTATAGTGAAGTAGGGATCTTGTGATTATTCAATTCCTCAATATGAATAAACAAAAAGTATATTCTACACAAACTCGTGCCCACTTTAATAATAATTAATGAATTTATTATTCTATTATCTACTTTTCTCATGTGAATTAGGTGCCAAAGTTTCCCCTTCTGTTACTTTGACTATTATTTCAAAAATTAATAAAGGTGATACTAATATTAACAATCAATTTGCATTATCATCACTGAAGTTGTAAAAAATGGTAACAATGATTATCACCATGAATTTCCTTGTCTTCCTGAGTGCTAGTTCATACCGAACGAGCTTCAGTCAGTAATAACAGTAATAACAGTAGTACAGTTTAAAAAGTTTGACAGTTGAGAATTTATGACCATTCAATAGAATGGTGGGATGCTATGAGTGTGGGGATGAGGGAGATTTTAATTTTCCAGGCCACTTTTGTTGTTTATTAACAAGCTCTGTTATTAGTATCAGCCTCATATTACTTATCTATACTATTTGGTGATATTTTCAGTGGACCAGATGAGTGGATCAGCATCCCAGGAGGAATCCAAACCTGCTCAGGTTCATAGCCAACAAAGATTTCTAAATATATGAAAAGATTTGACTCTGATATCGTGGTAGATACCTATAATCCCAACTCTCTGGGAGATGGAGGCAGGAGGATTGAAAATTCAAGGCCAGCCTTGACAATTTAGCAACTTAGTGAGACACTGTCTCAAAAACAAACAAATGAACAAAAGTTAAATGGATGGGGATGTAGCTTAGTGTGAAGGAACTAGATTCAATCTATAGTATAATGTGGAGGAAAGGATTTGAAATTCAACATTCTTGGGAAAATCAAAATGCAGTGATATATTCTTTACTGCTTTTTGTAATTGAAGTGTTCCATAGATTTTGACAGAAAAATAATTTAAAAAAGGTCAAAATAATAGTTGGGCCGGGGAGATAGCTCAGTAGAATAAGTGCTTCCCTGTTGATCGGCATTCCTGAATTATCCTTAATTCCTTAACTGTTCAATTTGTTGATATAAATACTTTTGTATAATTTCGTTTGGAATGATATTTTCTCACTATATGAAAGTTTTTAAAATAAAAATCTTGCTATATTAGAATGTAAGTCGCTAGATTAACCCGCAGATTCTCTTAGATAACATTGAACTAATTAACACTGCTTTAATTTCAGGAAAATGGAAAAGAAGACAAAGAAAAACAGGATACAACTGAAGTACAAGAGCCTATTGAGGTACAGTTACCATGAATAATAAGATGTTAACCCTGGGGAATAAACTAGATAAGTTAGTTTTTATGAACAAGGAAAAACTTTGAGTGTTCAAACAGATAAGTAAGGACTGGGGAGATAGCTCAGTAGAATAAGCGCCTGCCTGGCAAGCTCAGGGTCTTGAGTTCAATTCCCGGTACCACACACACACACACACACACACACACACACACACACACAAATAAGCAAAATAGCAAATAGAAAATTGCAAATTATGTTTTTAAAATGACTCATTTACTCCCAGGAAGCTCTCATACGTAGGTAAATTATTTGAGAGGAGCTAATATGAATTATAGATAAATTAAACTTGCTTTCTAAAATCAGAATTATTAACTTAAGTACAATAAGAACCCATTTCTAGAGTAACATCACTGTCCTGCTGAAAATGTAATTTCAATGTTAATAATTTAAGTAATTTTGTGTAAATCAATATAATATTAACTCGGTGAAAAAACTATAATAATGAAAAGGAAGCAGTTCAAAATAGTTAAACAAATTCACATTAATTGACTAAAAGGAAGTTTTATAATATCCTATTTTTAAAAGCATAAAAAGCTATTTTCCCAGCATTATTCATAAATTAATCTTTAAATTCTTCAATTAAGATGAAATGTTTTTCTTTCTGCACACATATCTAAAGTGTTGCTAATAGCTTAAAAAGTGGCATTTTCAAATGTTTGATTCCATTATGATACAATCTCAAATTATATTTAGAGAAGTATTATATAATTTAAGAACTAGTACACCACTGAAATACTTCCAACAATACTTCCAATGTTTTGTTAGTAATAGGAAGATGAAGTGACATGTTGAGTCAAACGTTTATCTTGTTAATGTATAAATTATGATTATTGCTTTGTTTCTAATATGCAACATTAAGTCCCCCTTCCCAATTAAGTCTGAATGTTTAGTAACAGCTACAAAGAAATCAATTCCCCTTTAATTGTAAGAGATAATGCAACTTTGAGGAAAGGCAATTTATTTTGAAATTGTTGTTTTTCTCCTTACAAAGAATTCACAGGATGGACCAGATGTCTCTGCAACAGAGACTAGCAAACATGTGGTGGAAGATGCAGAAGGTGAAACAAAATCCCAAGGTAGAGAATTAACTATTCTTCTTATACAGTAGTATCTTAAAAAATTACCTCTTCACTGAGGATGTATTCTTCAAAATTTTTCATTAAAAAAATTTAATCCTGGGGGTTATTTTAAATATAGTTTGAAAATAGTTCAGATTCCCTTTACTCTTTACTTTTGAGACAAATTTAAAATATTCATCTTTTCTTATTTAAGAGAAAATTTAGTGAAAGACTTGACTGATGCCCAGCAGATAATCCACTAATACAGGAAAATGAATTGTAGTGATATGGGCTGCTTGTTGTTCTTGGTCCTTATTATGGTTTAGGGCTAAATTGTTCCCCAAAACTCTGTGGTGTTCAGAAATGGGGTTTTTGGAAGGTGCTTGCATCATGGAGGTGCTAATAGTCATCAACAGATAATCCATTAATGAGTTCAAAGCCGAATGTGCTGACAGGATTTGGGACCTGGGTGAAAAATTGTCCATTGACAAAATGACTTGGAAGGGTGAATTGTGTTGCCTAGCTCCTTCCCTCTGCATCCGGGCTTCCCAAAGTTGAGCAGCTCTCTTCCATGTGCCCTTTCTGCTTAGAGCCAGCAGCTCAGGGGCTGAAGCCTCAGAATCTGTAAGCCAAAATAAACTTCTTTCTTTTTAACTTGTAGGAATTGGTTATTTTGTTCTAGTGGCAGGAAAGTGACAAATACAGTCATGTTTATTATTTTGTTACTGAACTTGACCACATATTTATACTGTTTGATCTAAAACTTGAATCCTACCTCATCTTTTACTTAAGTTCCACATAATTATGTAGAGTAGAAATTTATGGGATGAAGAAGCTAACAAATTAGTGGATAAGACATTCATTTCTTTCACTGTAACCACTTCTTATTCCAGATTTAGTAACAACTTATGCTAACAGAAATTCTTTACAATATTTAAAATGTAACAATTTGACTTTAAGTTACTTTCAAATCTGTTTGCAAGTATTGTATATTTAGTATGTGTGAGGCTAGGCTAGGTTGAATTATAATAATAATTATCAAAGTATTTTCTAAACCATAACTTTCTGCATAGATACTAGTTATAACTTTTGGGTGCTTACTTTTTTCTAAAGTTTCCTTCTTTTAACCTGATTAAGAGCAGTCATTTACTTTTTCTTCTTGTTACTACACGTTAAGAAGTGATGTTCATAACCCTTGGTTTTTTTTTTCCTTATAAACAGTACTATTTTCACAGCTTTACTAACTTTTAAATTTTTTCTTCCTTACAAGTTTTTACCTGCCCTCTGTTACCTGCCCTAACATCTTAGCTTCCTGATTTTACTTTCTCTTTACCTCACCCTTCCACTATTACTTTGTCTTTACCTTAATTGCCTGGGCCAGGTTTATAAATTCACTCTTTGATTTTAAACATACCAAATAGAACTGTGATCAAGGTAATTTGTTATAATTTAATTAGGCATTCCCTTTAATTAGTTTGTGGCCAAATTTGTGTCTATAAAACTTCACATATATAGTCCATCATGTAATTCATTGCCACCCTAGAAAAATGTCAATTAAAAGTTTGTGCATTTCCCATTCTTGTACATACTTTCAATTTCTCTAATTGCCTTTTTAGTAGAGGGAAGTGTGTTTTGTCTGTATATTCATTCCAGTATATGGTAAATGCTGAAAACACTGTGGTTGCTTGTGCTATCAAATGCAGTACAATGTACTTTTCTTCAGTAATCAGTAAGTATAAACCTTATATTCTGACTCCCTACTTTCTAAACATCAATATATACATTTTATATAGATATAAAATATAATATGTATATATAAAAGAAGTAGGAAGAGGATCTATTATTGTAATTTCAGCATGTCAAAGGAAGTGTCATAATCCTTGTTATATACTTGTCAAAATTAAAGTGATGTTACCTTGCTAAGCAGCTCCCAAAATATACTCAAATACTTGGGTTTGTGTAGAAAACAGTGTATCATATCAATTCTTCATCCCAGTTCTTCTCCATTTGTGGTTATGAATTTAACTTGTATTTTGAAGAACACTTTAAAAAATATACAGTTTGCCGAGCTCTTGTCTTATTACACAGCCTTAAGCTTAACAAAGTTTTGTAAGATGCTGCCTTTTCCTATAGCAATTCAATTTCAATTTAAATAATGTTGAATAGTGCTTTTCTTCTTTTTCTGAGCAGTCATTTACACTATGCACAAATATTGAGAAATCCTGCTAACAAGGACAAGGCTACTACATTTCGGGTAGATCCTGTGTTTAAAGAACATCAGCTTGTTGAATAATTCTGCTGCACAAATTCTCACAAGTTTAATCAGCAGCCAGTTCCACTAATGTTGTATAACATTAGAAAGAACCTTCTGTGGCTTATTATAATGTGGATTATAATGCATTCCCATTTATGTCCTTAAATAGATTTTGTATTGAGGTTACGCTTGGCGGTGAGCTGTGCACTAGGTACAAGAAATGATAAAAATCACTTTTAAGGCCAGAACTTTCAAAGTATGAGTAAGGAATTTTTTTGTACCTAATTATTTAGTTGAAAGCATTTATGCCCACAGTGCCTGCATAAGTTTTTGCATGTTAGAAGAGAATTGAAGTATGTGAGCTGGAGGAAGCTTCAGAATCTTCATTCTAGGAAGATTTTGTGAAATAGATCTAGAAGAAGAGTTCTAGTGCTTAGCATAGTGCCTAGTACACAGTTAGAAATCAGTAATTGTTTAGTGAATGTATAAAGGAACCAATCAATTTATCTGTAAAAGATTTAGGAACATACAAACTCAGACCTACTGAAAAAGCCAGTACTTGTTGAAGCTATATTTAATTAAGCCTCTAAAATAATTTGCCCTTGAGGCAGTTCTGTAATTTGTGATCCTTGAATTCAGAGGTCACTCAGTCAAAAGGCAGATTCAAATAAGTTTTTTCAGAATCTTGATTTATTGTCCCTGCTATTGCTGTGCCTCTTTTTCTTTTCTTAGTTTTATGGCTGTAAGAGAGAAGTGTTTGACTAGAGTTGTAACCAAACACATGTCTACTTCCATTATGTGTATCAATGGGGACAATGCAAACACTAGGATTATTGCTTGGCAACCTTTAATGGCCAAGCACACCAGAGAAGTACTATCAGGCTGCATTGAAGATAGAGAATGCCCTAGTTCATCTGTGAGGTTACTAATGAGTTATAGCAGATGTGTAGATATTAAGTTGCTGTACATATGTAGCACTACCCTTAAAGCAAGCAGAAATATACTTGTCTTGCTTTGTGTTAGAGAGATTAAAAGGAAAAAAAAGAGTATATTAGGATCTGTAGACTCTAAAAAATTGCTTTTTCTCACTCATTTAAAAATAAAAGCATTGTATATTAATGAGTATTATGATAAAAAAAGTAGATACATTCTACCTACTCACTAGCCTCCAAAATTATTTGTTTGCAAATCCAACTGAAAGGTGAGAGGTACGTTATATTACTTTCCACATTTTCTTACAAGAATATTAAAATTTGGCCTCACATAGATATGTATTTGAAAAAAAGAATTTTAATAGTCCTTTCAGATAATTGTGGCTTTCTGTAATACTACATCTAATTTTCCTTGTGAC